AATAAACAGGGTTTGCTGAAAAAAAGGAGAATATTTGTAGCTCAAAACACATACATGTTGGCTAGGAAAAAAAATAACCAAACACCAAATAGACGTGAAATCGGAATTATTTTTATTGGGATTATTTACAGTGACATACGACAGGGAAACCTATCACGTACGCACAACTGTGGAAGAATAACGATATATACCATCAGAGGAAAACGTGATAAGGAAAAGTTTTACATCGCGCAGAGATAGATATTCTCACAAAAGAAATTAAAGATAAAGACGAAACAGATTTCTACCTGGTATGGAATGATTGGTATAAATCAGTGGTTCCCAAGATTTTTCAGTCCACCGCCCCCTGGGTGCTACAAACTGATCCTCAGTGCCCCCCACCCGGGGGTGGCATTCAATTTTTTTTTACTACTGGTTCTGTGGGTGTGGTTGGGGGGGTGTCCTGTGACTGGGCGGCTTGCACGACGGAAGATAGTAACAGTAAAATTCAAAACTGTTAACAATTAATTGCACATTTATTCAAAATCCAATTTAAAAACCTTTTTAGTTAATGTTAATTCAATAAAAATTGTTGAACATGATCCCGTGATACCAGGTTTTCAAAGTCTGAAAGTCATTTATCAAGAACCTTAGTATCTATAGTCACTTAGTACAGTGTTTCTCAACCTTGGCAACTTGAAGATGTCTGGACTTCAACTCCCAGAATTCCCCAGCCAGCATTCGCTGGCTGGGGAATTCTGAGAGTTGAAGTCCGGACATCTTCAAGTTGCCAAGGTTGAAAAACACTGACTTAGTAAACTCAGTAAAATTTAGTTAACTACTTCACTGTTCACTAAATTCTCAACGTGACGGATGGGCTTGATGGAGTGAATGTCTTTTCAAAGGAAGTGGCAATCAGCTATTTCCCAACCTGGAGGCAGAACTCCGGGATGTGGGACCCGGAGGATCCCCGTTTTTTAAAAACCTGGTTACAGGCAGAGAGGAAGAGCTCAAGACTCCGATCCTCTCTTTGTCTGCACAAACCCACAGGGGGAACTTGTGGTCCCCAAAACTAGAACCCCTGATTTCTAGATTTAAACC